TTGTTTTCGTCAAAATTTTCAAGTTTGAGTTTTGAGTGGATATATTCGTTTTGGGTCCCCCTGGACCCAAAAAAGTGGTTTTCGAAGTGATGTCTGTGTGTGTGTGAGTGTGTGTGTGTGTGTGTGTCTGTGTGTGTGTCTGTGTGTCTGTGTGTCTGGATGTGTACAGAGCTAGGGACTACTGTGGTCCGATTTCAATGAAATTTGGTATATAGGTTCTAATCCGTGGTATCTCCAGGCGTTTTTTTTTCATTTTTTTGAAATTTTGATTTTTAATGGGGATTTTCCCATAAAAACCCATAAAAAACTGGAAAAATCGGATTTTCTCAAAAATGGCCCGAACGATTTTGATAAAAATTTAGTATGTTGTAGCCCTTTAAATTTTGAACAAAATGGTACAAATCCCATTTCTGTTAAAATTACGGTTCAAAAGTTATGGTAAATTATGTTATTTTTCCATAAAACCCCCATAAAATAACAAAAAATAGGATTTTAGACAAAAATCCGGTTTTGATTTAACAGAGTATGTTATGATCCTTACAATTTTGATAGTTTTTGTCATTTTTTAGAAAATTATTTTTTTTAATGGGGATTTTCCCATAAAACCCCATAAAAAACAGGAAAAATAGGATCTTCTCAAAAATGGCCCGAACGATTTTGATAAAGATTTAGTATGTTATAGTCCTTTATATTCTAAACAAAATGGTTCAAATCCCATTTCTGTAAAAATTACAGTTCAAAAGTTATAGTAAATTATGTTATTTTCCCATAAAAATCCCATAAAATAACGAAAAATAGGATTTTAGACAAAAAATCCGTTTTTATTTAACATAGTATGTTATAATCCTTACAATTTTGACAGTTTTTCCAATTTCTTAGAAATTTTTTATTTTTAATGGGTATTTTCCCATAAAACCCCATAAAATGACGGAAAAAAAAGATTTTCCCAAAAATAGCCTGAACGATTTCGATAAAAATTTAGTATGTTATAGTCCTTTATATTCTGAACAAAATGGTACAAATCCCATCTCTGTAAAAATTACGGTTCAAAAGTTATTGTAAATTATGTTATTTCCCCATAAAAACCCCATAAAATAACGGAAAATCATATTTTCCCAATATTGGCTCTAACGATTTTGATAAAAATTTAGTATGTTATAGTCCTTTAATTTCTGAAGAAAATCTTACAAATCCCATTTCCGTATATTTACTCTCACCGCTTACACATGATAAAGGTTGTTGACAAACTTATGGGAGAAAGTATGTGTCAGAATGCTGATACCGTTTATTTACTTAACCAGAATCGTATTTTTTATGTATTAAAAATCCAAATAAAATTTAAAAACTAAACTATCCATAGTTTTTGTAGCATAGTTTCATTGGGGGTTTCAAAGCTTATATATGCTTGATATTTTAAATCAATATCACTTACTTTTAATATTTAGATTTGACAAAAATATGTGTTTTGTACTAAGTAGTTTTTTATTAAGGGATATCAAATTTATCCTTACGTGTATGTATATATTATGTATGTTCTAACGAAATGAAAGTTAGTATTTCAACAAATTTACTTTCTTAATTAGTTTTTAGCGAATTTCCCTATAGGAAAGTAGCTATTACCGTAGGTGGCACGGTAAGACCTAGACCCGGGACCGATTTACTTTTTCATTTTGTTGTCCCCAGAGGCCAAAAACACCATTCGTTCAAATTTTTATATATGTATATATATATATATAGACTTATATATATATACGTCCGTGAACGCGATAACTTGAGTAATTTTTGTCCGATTTTGATGAAATTTGGTTTAAAGGTGTAAAGCGGGATAAACTTGAATGAGTTCGCGAATCAGCACGATCGGACCATGGGAACGGGGCTTTACGGGGGGTTTTATGGGGTAAAAATTGGTTTTTCTCACTTTTGACCCTCAAAACACAGAATTTCCCGATTTCTCTTTAGACCTTTTTAAAGAGCTTAAAAAAAAAATAATTTAGTATATAAAAGTATATTTGTTCGATTATTAGTAACGGAGAAAATTAAAAATAATTGTAAATTTAAAATTCCCATGTTATTCTTATGGAGAATATTGTCAAATGTTGTAGTTTGCCTTGTTTATGGATATATTTTTATCAAACTTGGCAAATTTATTTATTTTGTACTAAGCTATCAATATTTTACTTAAAAACACACTTTATTAGTTTCCTTGTAGCAGCAAACCTAGGTACTCGTTAAACCTAATGTTATTAAAATATATTTAACTGAAAATCAATTCAGACAAATGGAAATTCGCTTAGTCGGCAGGTGTGCTGCGGCGGGGGTATTATTTATTTATTATCTGTTGCAGCCGTGCTTCGCAACAAGCACATAATTCAAAAATACAAACATTTTGATCTTTAAATCAGTTGTATAAAATAGTTACACATCCGCCGGCGTTTTTAGAAACAACATTCAACCGTACCACTTCATTTGATAAACGTTTATGTGTTTTATTTAATCTGTTAAGTTCTGGCTTTTTAAGCTGGTAAGTATTGAAAATCGTAAATTTGGTTTTAATTGATTTTAAATCGTGTGTAAGCTAATGTGAGAAAAATTTTAGAATATAATTTTCATATACCTACTTGGTTTACCTTCTCCTCTTTTATTTAAATATTCGTTTTATTATTTATATATATATTTTTACATCACTATACTACATCTGTTCAAATAGCATACAATTATTTCAACAATTGATTTTATTTTTTATCCATACGACAATTCTCTCAGTAAATTGTAACTATTTATCATATTTGGTACTCGGAATTTATACGTCTAAAAGTGTTTGTTAGATTTGGAAATAAAACTCATGCTTAACTAAAATGAGATATTGAGTTGAAACAGCGTGGTTTATGCAAGACAGTTTTATCGTTTTGCATGTTTAAATTATGACCTACTTTCAAAGAGGGTGGCTGACTGTAAAGTTGGAAAAGTGTGACTTTATTAACACCAAACCACATTGAGGAAATACATAATAAAAACACCTCGTCATCTAATGTTAGTTGCATTTAAATTTGATATTTTTATTTTACTTTAAAATAAAAAATATGTAGCATACTCTTACAGTACTTTTCGTGAAACGGAATCCATTAGCATTTAGCAATAGACATGACTTAACCGGAAGCAAAAAAAAAAAAAATGATTTATAAACTTGAAACCTATTTTAGTACATCAGGATTCAACATGTTGTAATAACCAACGGTGTAATGTACAAAACAACGATCAAAGTAGAAAAGCACAGCTGTTTCGCTACTTATGCGTGTCGTAAAGTAGAATTATTAATGAATTAGAATTTATTACTGTTATTGATTTCTTCAACAGAAAAATAAAATATATGTACCAATGCATATTTATGGTACATAATAATTGTGTTGGAATGTGGTGGCAAAGAAATGTCATTTCTGACAGCAAACGCCTGGTTCACGGATTTGACTGCTTCGATTTTGTATTTAATACGTACGTTAAATAAGAGAACTTCATTGCAAATTTACGTGTATTAATGTGATTTGTCTATTACCAGAGCTTAATTAATTGACTGATAACCTAAATATCTGATTTTACTAATTAACTGTACGGTAATGATCACTTGAAGTCTCGTGTAATAAATATTGGATTTACTGTTAACCATTAATAAATCCATTGTACTTTTGTCTTTACCGATTTTTGTAATTCAGCAATAGTAGGCCTGTATACAATACACATATTTTTCGGAATTAGTTTGAAACACATACTCCGGGAACCTAATATTGGTTAAAGTGATCAGTTCAAATGATTTTAAATTATCAAAGGCCCTCTTTTTATATCCATAAATCCTAAATTAAATCATAAATCCTTAAATCATATATCATAAATCATAAATGACTAAGTTTCAATATGAAACTGGCGTCAAACAGGCCTAAGATTACTAAATAGTTTAAACACATCCATTAAAAAAAACCTAAGACTGACTCAGACACAGTTACAAAATCTAATTTCACTGACTTGGCATAATAAAGAAAGAAACTAGGCCTAGCCTAATAAACGTATTAATAATTTATTATAGTATACTAAATTAACTAAATGTTTTATTTATTTTATTTTATACCAAATAAATAGGGCAAAACAAATCCAAAGCAGGTTTATACATGTGATATAATACTCTTTCAATGAAAAACTGGCACCGGACGTGCTAAAGGTCAGGGCTTTGATCATTAAATGTTTCTAGGTCACTGTACGGCTGTTCTCTTCATACATCATCGTGTAACATGTGTCACTTCGCTCTCTGATTTTTAATCAGCTTCACCATTCTGGCTTTCATGAAGCCGAGTCAGCACAAAGAACTTTGCTTTGCTGTCAATTATTGATTCTCAGCCCGGTTTTGTGCCAAGTAAACAATAGTTTTCCCCTTTTACAATCTGTCTATGCCTCGTTATATTGAAATTAACCTTAATTCTCCAAGGGCTACTAAATCAACTATTTGTTGATTCCTTTATTACTATTATTATGAGATGAAGCGATAGTTTTTTTTTAGATTCAATTTTGGAGATTTTATGATAGTAAGTTCAATCTTAGATATGGATGCATTTTACAAACTGTTCTTGTATTAGAAACGTAGTTATTAGTTTTGTCTCCGGACCTATGAAATTCGGTTTGAATTCAGTATAATGAGACATTTACTTTTATGTACGTCACCGAGTTAGTTTTAAAATGGTTTTTGCTTTGTTATGCGAATGTTTTATTTGATGCTATTAAATTCTAAACCTCCTGAGTGTTTTTTTCTCCTTGAGCGGTTTGTCTGCTGGCTGGGATTTAAAAATGTGTTTCGGTACTATAAAACTTAATTTTATAGAATCCTTGTATTTTAGAGCCCGCAATTACCTACGCAAATATTAATTTACCACACTCAGTATCAGGTGGTGCTAGACATACACGAGAAAGTTACGGCAGGGAGAGAACGTGTTAAGATATGAAATAAGAAGGAAATAACGTCGAGTGTCCTAAGTAATGTATTATCCATGAATTATATTGAACTCTTGCCAGACTACTTTGCTTACATGTTCATTTTACTTGCCAAGTGTATTTCATCATGGGATTCATTGCCAGCGTGTTCTTTATCCTATCACAGTCACAGTCACAGTCTGTAGGCTCAGACGATATTCCCAAACCGGTGATTGGTTTCATAGGTACTTCTGACACTTTTTTAACTCCTGGGAAAGATTCGCGTCTTGGCAACCCTAGTAGTTTTTCCATTAGTGATGGTTTTGCTATATTATCTGAAAGTTTTTTTCGTTCTCTTGGCGAGCATCCATGCGGTGATTCTTTTGTTACTGCACGTATTGGACATGTTTCATTGAGTGTTGGAAATGTCATCCCGTCACGACATCCACAATTATTTTTTAGACTATTCTTTACCTCTTTGGTTACCAAATCATGCCAATCGCAGAATGCTTTCTTGTTTCCTGGTGGATTAGCATTCCTGCACAAACTATCATCGCTAGCACGAGGCATTCTTAGAGAATAGTCTTTGAATCGGTTGAATTTTGGGAGAAAATCGATATCCGTACCTTCAACACTTTGAGTATTATTTCTCCAAACAACAGGCTTCTGAAATATATCCTTGTCCTTAAGTATAGTTATTCCAACTGCAACTTCTTCCTCGGCTACTATCGGTTTCAATAAGGTATCACGGTTGATCTCCGAATCTTCTTTTGTTTCTACGCCGGGTTGGGGACTCGGTTTAAACACGTAACGTCGATCTCGTCCAACACTTTGGAAGGATGTGGTGATTACTGTGCCAAAACATGATAGCCTCACAAAAACTTGCACCTCTCCTTTTTTCACTCCGAATACATTTTTAAGTACACACGAATCCCTATGTATGCACGAAACAGGGAGAATCACTCCTGACTTACAGGATTGTAGTACGGAAAGACTGAAGTGGTCTGGAAGTCGAACTTGCGCGTAGCCCAGAGGTTCACAAATATTCTTTTTCTCTTCTTCATTATCTGTAGCGCATCGGCAAACTTGGATTTTTATTGGAGAGTGATCTAGCCCTTGTATTGTTTCAATCGCCGATTTTGAAAACAGTATTGACTTCCCTGTAACATTTTAAGGCATTTCAATATCACAGATTATTATCATTCGATAATGCATTCTAAAACTAGAACTGGCACATATAAAAATAGTCAAACTGGAAATTACCTAGACTTAAGAGCTTAGCATTCTTATAATCATATTTAACAGTTAATTAATATTTTAATCTATTCAAAGACTACTTTTTTAAGTAATTACCACTCGAGTTCTCCCACTTCGTATCGTATATGAGAGGCATTTCTGTACTAGACAAGTCTGGCTTTCCTTTACTACCTCTCACAGAATTGTTGTCCGTCTCTACCGTCTTTCCAGGGTCCATTGCATTGCCCAGCCCAGCATTTCCAACAGTTTCAAAATATTCGTTCTGGCCCATTATGGAATCACTTCCTTCAATCCTCTGAAGCAGAGTTTAAAAATTATCTATATTAGTTTAAAAACTATATACAGGGTGTCCCGGAACTCTCTACCAATATTTTAGGGCGTTGCTCCTGGGTAAGAAACATACCTAAATATCATATTTAAATTGTCCGGAAGTCCTTAGTTACTCACACAGCCGCCATTTTGTTTTTTTCAGTTATTTTTTTTTTCTAAAGAATGGTTTTAACTTACGAAATTGAAACTTTTCACAAACATTTATGACAACTAGACAAAGCTACCAAAAAATTATGAAGATTTTTCCAATTCATAAAACAAAATGGCGGCCATTTAAAATTTTTGTAAAATCAATGGTTTTTGAGTTATTTAAGAAACAAAATTTTAAATGGCCGCCATTTTGTTTTATGAATTGGAAAAATCTTCATAATTTTTTGGTAGCTTTGTCTAGTTGCCATAAATGTTTGTGCAAAGTTTCAATTTCGTAAGTTTAACCATTCTTTAGAAAACAATTAATAACTGAAAAAAACAAAATGGTGTCTGTGTGAGTAACTAAGGACTTCCGGACAATTTAAATATGATATTTAGGTATGTTTCTTACCCGGGATCAATGCCCTAAAATATTGGTAGACAGTTCCGGGACACCCTGTATATTATGGATCGTTAAAAATTTTATATTTTAGTCAACACCAATCATAATTTTGAATATTCAATTTGCTTTTCAAAAAAAATTTCGATGCTTCTTGTGTATCTTAAACGAAATTATTAATAATGTTTTGTAATGTAGGCCTATTATCTGATCACACCGTTTAACCTTAATAATAATTGTCTAGTGGATTGTATTACAATGAATATGACTGGTAAGACTGTATGTAAGGAAACATTTTTGTGTTCTCAACCCATCATTAATTCTTATAACGCATAGGTGTTACCTGGCTACGGAATGCTACCAAGATACTGAATTCATTATCTGCATAGTGATCACATACATTTAAAAATAAAGAACTCGCGTTGATTGATTATAAACACTAACAAGCATCGTTTGTCCCAAATACTTACTTCCCCTTTCTCTCTTATCTCTAGACAGGGAGTGTCGAGGAACTGGACTTTGGCAACAAGTTCTGACGATTCACTTGATTCTGGAATGAGTCCTAGCTCACTCGTCGTATTAACCTCCAGTGATTCTATTAGGAACTCGAACAGAAACATCTGTGTCTTTTCCAAATCAGCGAAATCCTCTTGTACACAACGTTTCCTAACTTTTCGAAGGTAGAGACGGTTTGATTCTATCGCTTCAATCATTTCATGTTCCTTTCTCAGTGTCTGCGACGCCGTATCCTCTTCCTGTTCCTGAGGCTGTTCGTCGTATTGATACATGTACGGATCCATTCCATACATGTCATAATAACCCTGACTAGGATCTTGGTAATAGTCGTAGGACATGATTACTGAAATTTTAACTATAGGGTTAGGAACTAATTGTACAGTAGGATTTGTTAAGTTGATTGCTAAGCAACAATGCTCTTTTTGTGATTTGCCAAGCTCATATTTGATTTTTTTAAACCAGCCCAAAAATAATATGATTTGTATGCATGAGCTATAATATGTTGTTTTACGATTCAAATAATCTGTGTATTATAGTTTATTATCCTTATATATAATCCTGAAAGCGATTTCTACGAAACACTACACCGTTAGTAATGGACGGATTTTGACAAAGGATATGTCAAAATAAAATATTTTTTGTGTAGACACCTGTAAAAAATTCCTGTAATGAAAAAATCTCGGGCTTCACCAAACAGGCCATCAAAATCCCAACTTATTTCTTATGAAGAAAAGATTTTGCCTACTTAAATAGACGAATAATTTGTATTAATTACAGCAGTTCATAGTAAACACATGATACACACAAGAGCGTTCGTTTTCAGTTTCGATAACTGGGGTGGAGTGATTGATTACATTATCTTTGAGTTGACTAAAAATTATTACTGTTATTCGTTTTGAAATAACGCCTGTAATAATTTGCAATTGATCGAGTTCGAGCAACGGGTGCACTAGTAATATTAAATTATAGCTTATAAATAACAGGAAGGTAAAGAATTTTTTATTTCAATCCTTACAAATATTACTGCTTACAAAACATAATATTGATATAATTTAATGCACAATCTCAGAATAACGTAAAAAACAATTTTAGTTAATATTGTACAATATGAACATTTTTTTGAATTTTTAGCTATTTTTATAACAGCAAATTTTTACTGGTTAGGTTACACAAGAACATTGTGGTTGAATATTATATGAAGATAAACGATTATATTAAACATGTTTTTAATTTACAAGATAAGTTTTTGCCATATTTTTTTTTCAAAAATTCGTAAATATGTAAATTTGTTATATGACTATTTAAGTAAAATATTTAATGAATAACCGACTTTTTTTAAATATGTATAAGATTAGGTTTGGCAATAAATATTCAATTTCACCCATCTTTTAAGAAATAAAAACCATTTTTGGAACAATTTGGGTAGTTCGTGATTCAGCAGCGATCTTTAGGTACGTCCAATCTTAATAATCTTAAATGAACAACAAACTTAAATGAAAGCTGGAATTTCACGGATGGTTCTTTTACAAATGTGTGTTGATATATATACAGTATACACCCATAATAGGTTAATGCAGTTAGAACTGGTAAAATACATCTTTTATTGAAATAGGCCTGATTATTCTAAAAAAATCAAGTTTAAGGTTTTTGGTCGAGTGATATAGTAAATAAATGAAACCATCACTGCCTGATAACAAATCCGTGCTTGTATATATTAATTTTAGACCAAAATTATAAAAATCGGTTACGTAGAAGTGCCAAATTGACTCATGAAAGAAAACCAAATATTTTTAATATAGAGATTCTGTAATTGTAGATGTATCAACCTATGGTTGACCCCAGGTTTTAAAACTTAAGGTTATAAGAATTATCTTACCAATAGGATTTTTTGAAAACTGTAAGAAATTTACTTTTTGCATGTTTTAATTTGTATGGAATGTTTAACTGTCTTGAAATCGCAACAACGCGCGACGGATAAGCTAGTACTAGGCCTACATAAAAATCTAAGTTATACTGATTTTGAAAGACAATAAAAATACTTACAATTACAAATTTCATAGATAATGTGTATGATTTGCCTGTCTAAAAAAAAGGTAATATATATTTTCAATTAATTCGGGGATCATGAACTTCATAAATAAACGATTAGTACAAAGTTATATCTGTATGTATTTTAAAAGCTTATAAATATTACTCGTCACAAATTAAACATTACTTTAAGTACTCCAATGTATGTATTACGCCTTCATTCATGAATAAATAAATAGAGACTAATGGATAATGTTTCAACTTCTGTAAATATTTACCAAGTCAATTTACTCTCAGAATGTCATCTTTATGTTCTCTTTAACCTTAATTTTGGTTTTAGAATAATGGTTTACTATAATGGTTAATATATGTTTTGGGAAAGAATTTTCCAAAATGCGACATTTGTCTTTTTAGACACTGAATTCATACAAATTTACATTAGTTAATGAATTCTTTCTTCAACAAAATATTACAGAAATTATTTTACTTTAAGAGCTTGAAACTTATCACACTTCTACAAGATTAGTATTATTCCACCCACTCTGCGCAAGTCTACCTGTGTGCACGTTTCGGAGTCAAACTGATGTTGGAACTTGGACTTGAGTGTTGTTTTTCCTTGTCAAATTGAAGCAAAATTTGGCATAATATCAATGTCAGATAAGATCTACAATATTTTGTTTTCAAGACAAAGGTCCATGGACATTTTCTCATCTCATATTTTGTTATATTTAGGTTGTTGTATTTATTAATCATATTCCTGTAGTGATATACTATGCCATAATCATTACTTAAACTCCATAGTCATATATTCTACAATTAGCAAAACAAAATTATAAAGTAAACCCCCCTTAATCACACCCCTTTGCGGTGAAACTCGGATGGATTGAAACCTTATTTAAAATTATACATCAGTTGAAAAATATTTTTAGGTAACAGAAATTGTCCACCTTCGGCTTGGACAAGGAGATGTAATAGACCAGACTACGGTACAGATTTTATCCCGTTATGGAGATAAAATAGAAAATTACTCTTGATAATTTCAAGATATATATACATTTTATGTATAGAGTGTATACATTTAAGATGGCAGCATTATAAACGATGTAATTCGACTATTGTATATTATAATTTTAAACTGTTATACCTTTTAAATTCCAACCATTCGTTCACGAACAAAGTTTACCCGAAACGCCTTCGCCTCCTTTGTTTTGGCTAAGCAAGGATTATATTATGATATATGCGAACCACTTCTATGGCTGCACTTTGATGGTCATTAAATTAGTTTACGTTCCATGAGTATTCTATACAGTCATAAATCACACGATAAAAATTGCTTTGAAGGAGTTTTCCATGTATCCGTTTTAGTGTCAGAAATAGGTCGGAGCAGGGTGGCAGTAACCTAGTACAATGGCTCTAGGGCTTTTGTCGCAAAGCCTTTCCAAGCTTACCTTACCTTTGCATTAGGCGTCCACTACACATTTTTATGAATTCCAAAATCGTTTCCATTTATAAAATGAAATAATATAAAATCTAGACTTTATATGATTTTCAGTATTATTGTAGTTTGCATTTGGTTGTCTTTGTGTACGTTTATTTGGAAAATATTAAGCATTATTTTGCGTTTTTAATCTAAAAATTAAATCTCACCAATATATTCAACGATATGATGATTGCATTATGTTCTTGATGCAAAAAACTTTGACACTAGTAAATAGTTTTATTTCTTTATTTTTAATGCTATGTTTCCTGGCTGTGCAGAAACAATGGAATAATGAATGTAATTATTACTATTATCCAACGTTATTACAAAACATATCGCTGACGTTGTAAGTGATAATTTCTTCTTTTAATTAACAGTTACAGTAATCTAAGTGTTCATTGAGAGAAACTATTTAGGTAACTGAACGGGTGTGTGTTTATATGATTATTATATTCAATAAACGTGTTATATGATGGTAAGACGTATACATAAAATGGTAATTTAGTTTATCCGTTTCACTATAATGTGTTTTATACGGAAAACAACCTAAATTCAAATCGATGCTTTGATAAACATAATAATGGCCGGGGTTTCATTTTCAATGTTTCTGATTCTCTAGGATATGTATTTATGAAGTGTATTCATTCTAATACTCAGGTTTCATGCTTTTCAGTGGCGGGCCCAGCAAGTAAGCTAACATAAGATTTCAGCATGGGAGCATAATTTGCAGTAGCACATGCACGTTGCACAGCCTACGATGGCTTGCTTCCTATCAAAACAATGCAATTTTTAACACTTTACAATGCCACGGTTTCTTATTATTATTCCAATTCAAAACACTAATGAGTACAAGTATTATACATATGAATTTGTATAAATGTAATGTAATAAATCCAGTACTTGTTAGCCTTGTAACCAGTTTTAGTAGTGAAACAGTCATATTTTGTTGTTGTGTTAATTGAACACAAATAAGTAACTATTAGAAGGTCATAGTAATAAACCCTTAGGTGTGGGTCAATAAACCCACATAATAGCTGTAAAAGAAACATCCATGCAGCCACCCAAATACAACGATGGGTGTGTAAATGGTAAACATTAGTAGAACCCATTTAGGAGACATAATAAAATTTACCTTAATATACAATTAATACATAGAACAGCAGATCATTAATCAAATAAAAATGTAATAAGTAAATTAAATATTACAGCCGTTCAAAATCATAAATTAATAATACAATAACAAGCGTCAATAATGTTGCTTGGACAAACATATAATTTTTTTTAGATATATTTGTTATAAACCTCAATTAGAGTGACGTGAAGAAAATATGGATGATGTAATTTAATAAACAGATACTGATAAACATGCAGACAGTTTTTGTTCATTTCGTTTCGATGATTATGGGCGACAAATTAAAAACTGTAACTTATATATTAGTTGGCCTAAATGCGTCAAAACTGTTTTGAGTTTGTTTTAACACAATACCTCATTGCTCAGGCTACTGAAAATGATGTTCTCATTCAACTGTTTCACCAACCATTCTACATTTATTTTCACACATAATGATATTCCAGGTATGGAACCAGCACTAGTGAATATATTCATGTTTTTATTAGTTCCTAGTTTAAAAAGATCGTAGTTAAGCTTCAATTTTTGTAGTAGCACGTTACATAGTCTCACTGCTTATAATTCTCAGATAGATTTTACTAATTCCTAAGGTCTTCTCTTTAATGATAGCTTAGCTTGTAATTATACAGGAAATTAAAAAACTTTGTGTAGAATTAATGTATTTTGATCAAAGTTGGACACAATTGAGTTACAAATTCTAGTTTATACTTTTATAAATAGTTTTCTTCTCTTAGCTTTTAATGGTATCCTTTAAACTTTTGCTGCAAACACATAGGCATTCTATGTATAAAATCTTTCGCTTCGATGCTTTACTAATATATTGCTTACTTTCTATTAATAATTTAATAAGTTTATGGTTATTTTCCAACTATAAATCACTTATATTTATTATATTTTTATCTATTTTAGTTTTTATTATAGTTATTTACTATCAAAGAAAAGTAAGTATTCTTATAACCATTTTCTTTGAATGGTTATCCATTTTTCAACAATTTGGTACTCGTATTATAAAAGTTGTTAGACCCAAAATTATTTACCCACTGCATCCAATAACATCCTGTAGAATATATTCCAAGGTATTAAATATTTAATTAATAGGTATTTCGCATTACTAATTATTTCCAAATTTGAAATGAGCAATGACATTAATGAGTACAGCTTATCTCCAAGTCAAGGAGGCAAAAAAGTATTTGGGCTCTCCTAAGAATTTTATCTTTTTTATGTTGGGAATTCTGTTCCCTTTGTTTATGTTAGGGTAATTGAAAACCTGACATGAAATGTTTAGCAAATCTAGGAATTACAGCACTTACTTTTATAATCATGCCCCCACATTGTAAAATTATTTCATAACGTCTACAATTGATCGGTAACTAGGGTAGATCTAATTTTACTAAACTACTAGTCATATAAATGATCCATCGTTTCTCTTAACAATTCGGTAGATTTGAAATAATATACACCATTATTTTCCATAATTATATTAAAATAATCTATTTAATGTACGAGCAATAAACAGTTAATGGACCAATTAATCTAAAGTTTACTAGGACTTTACACAGCAAAAAATGTTATGCCCTCACTAATAATAGAAACTTGACTGTTATGGAGAAACCTCTAAGGTACAATAGTTGTAAAAAGAAAACACCAGAGTAAAAAGAACAGATAAGCATTAGGGATTTGAGAAGCAGTACAAAGCGCACTAAAATACTATCCTAAAGGTTTATTTGCTTTACGTATTTCGTGTATGACAGGTAGAACAGATGGAAAATGCTTAGTGTATCCGTATATCCAACCAATTTGAAACATGTAAAGATCATATTTTATCAGCCTCTGTTGTTAATATTATTTTCATGCAATGTTGAAATGGTAATTCGAATAGTAATTTGCAGCACACCGTATATTAAGGTCGTGTATGAAGCTGGTGGAAGGGGAGTGTATATACCAGGTCTCTGGGGGGGGGGGGGGGTGAAGGGGAGCAATGTTGGGAGACAGGTTCGTGATCACAAAGCAAAGTGTCCTATAACACCCGTTTATCAACCGATATTAGTTGTTGAAAACACTATCAAGCTCAGGTATAATTTACATCTAATCTTTGGCAGTAATTATTGATATCAACATTTATTTTTGTGGGACGAAATGACATTAAGCCTTATAGAGTTTTGCCTTCGATAAAAATTTGGCATTCAAAACTGACTCTTTTCCATTTAACTAATGAAAATAACCTAATAAATGTAAGTGCAGTCCATGTCATCGCACAATCTGGGTTAAAAGGGTGTTTAAAGTAAACGATATTCTACTATTAGAATGATTAAAACCAATCATACATTTTATTGTGAATAAATAATTTAAAATACATTCATGCTATTTAAATGTGAATTATTTTATTCCGTAACAACCTTTTGGTGCATAATTAAGAAAAATGAATAATTTTCCCCAAAAGTTCATGCCCAGACCTTTAAAATGAGACCCCTCCCAGCTTTCTACAGCCTCCCGTTCGCTCACAATTTCATTGTAAAATTTTGGGCTTACGGAATTAGATATATAGATATAAACCGAAGCTACCTTAAATTAATTTTGAACCATTTTTCCATTGGTGATTTGATATAAACCAATGAAAATAAATAATTTAATAGTCATTTCAGTTTTAAATTGTTAAAATTAAAAATTTCCCACATGCCTCTAATTAATTACAAAGAAATAAGTAATACTTAATTACTACCAATGATCAGATCAATTTGATGAAATGTGGTTATTTTTTACGAAATGTGTGGTTAATTTCCAGTATTTCTATGTGTCTACACCAAGGGATCTGAAGGATTTGGTGACATGGACATAAACATATCACTGTTACTAATTGTGTGACATAAAAAATTTCATCTTAGAAATGATTCCACTGCTTTATTTTTCATTTATTTAATTTCGTATATTCATTGTTACAAGTAATGTAAGGAATTCAATAATTTACTAGTACTGTATGACGTATTGAAATGTGAAAACCACATTTTATATACGGTAGTAAAAAGGTAATTAATCTTAACTATAATTCACCAAATTTATAGTCTTCCTAGCCACATAACTTAAAACATAATATTTTATTGATTTCACCTCAATTATTTGCTGAACACAGATTGGGGAAATGCCAAATTGTCAAAAAACTGTGGGAAAAACTCGGCTCTATGAACCTTCCCGCAATAGCTCCGTCACAAATATAGCACCGAAGGGTATTGGCATCAGTGACGTGGCAGGTGTTCGCAAATAGCCATGACGTAGCTCCATATGACGTCACATATGGAGCCACGATGACGTCACAGGTCACCTGACCGTGGCCCGGTGCCAAGCAAGTCTTTTAAGTGGGACATCACTGTCTATTAGTTTAAGCCTCAGTATTTAACACACTACGCGCGGTTGTGCACGGTAAAGTGGGTAACGATTGTTTTCGTTGATCGTATTTTAGTTTTGTGCAAATATGTGTGTGGTGAAATTATAAGTGACTTGACGAATGTGTGATTCGAGAGTGATTTTGAAACAAAAATATTTTTGAATTGATGTTGTCATTTAAGGATCTTAGTATGCGTCATACGTTTTTTCCCTACTGTGGGAAGAAGAAAAAAAATTATAATTTTTTATTTCTGTACAGATAGTATCCGGATGATAAACACATTAATCCTCTTCAAATTTTTATTGGCCTCCTTATAACAATATATGAGCCTATATTTTTAAGTAGTTGAAAAATGTTGGTCACAATAAGGCATGTTTGTGTGTGATTTAGAAAAGAATTACTATAAAATAGATTAATATTTTCTATTAAAATTACATTACACAAAATAAAGTTGGTCAGCCGTAAATATATGCTTAAAATCCCATAGGTTAATTCAAAAACAATATAAATAACACCCATGTTTAAAGATAAGCTAAATAAATAAAAATGGAAGATAACATTACAAAATAAATTGCAAAATAAAACTCACAGCGTGTTTATTTAACCAAAACAAATATTTACTTTTGCATTTCATCATTTTAATTTAAGAGTTATTGGCGTGTAAATATGATAAAAGTGGTGGTATTTACTTTCATTAGTGCTAATCTTAAAAGTAAAATAATGTTTGAATTTGTATATATTAGGTGCTTCATGATTTTTTTTCAATTTGCTTTTAGAATCACTTTTAATTGACTAACTCTGACTTCAATTTATTTGTTAATAGTAAAACACAGTTTTTAAGTATTTCTTAAATTGATGCTAACAAATCTATATTAAATGTAGGTAAAGGTTAAATGTCTACGCCACAATCCGGATATTTATCAAATTTAAGTTAGTTAAATGTTGAGAGCTTAAAAATAAAAAAACTTATGTTTTAAAAGAACTTCTTTCATAGTAGAAAAAATAAAATAATAGCTTATCATTGTTTTTACATGTCAATAAAAATGTTTTCCGTAGTAAAGTTGTGTTTACAGTTTATTGTTTCTACTTTAATAATCTATCAGTACAAACCATTTAAACTTTTAATTTAAATCTGCATTGATTGCAGATTGATATTCAATATTTTGATCAAATTTTGACT